CCCCCCCCCGCCTTTTTAAAAAAACCCTCTTCCTTAAAAAATGAGGTTTACACAGTTTTTTGAAAAGGGGGGGGGGGCGAAAAACACTGCATCCAGGTTACTTTCACTTTCTAAAGTGAAATCGGAAGAAGATATGCAAATTCCTCTTTTGAAAATAAAGCGTAGTTTAGAAGTAGCCTTGGTCTGCTAGAACATTACTTTGTTCCCAAACCAATGACCATCTCAATGTAACAACCAAAAAAGCATCTACACCTCAATTGGAAGATTCCATGCAAAATAAACCATGTATTTATAGTCGTCCATCCACACTTCAGCCACTCTCAGGGCGTTGCGTCTCATCGCAATGCTCAAGTCCAGCATATAGGGTTTGTGCGCTCTTTCCAGATGAGCAATTCTTGAACAGGGCAAGACTTCTATCTGCCCTCCACACTGCCAAGCCTGTATGGATAAAGCAGGAGTTCCTATGAATGTGCAGTTGGACTGGTTTTTTTTTAAACATGATTGTATCCTACACAAATGATTAAAACTTGCATCTCCTTACTCAACAGATCCGCTCACTGTCGGCATTCAGGGTTAATTTCTCTGGACTCTGGCGATTTAGGGGAGTTTTCAGTATGTTTCTTTCAGGCCCCGCAGAGACAATGCAGGCACAGGAGAATGAGGTGGAGGCTGTTTAGTCTTTTGCATGACTATCAATTTCCAGTTACAGGACCAAGCAGTTACTCCTGCGTAAATGAGGCTACAGATGTGACAAAGTACAAAATGGACCCTACAGAGTGTTAATTATGATGAAGGTGAAGAGGAATGAAAGAGGCCAGGCTGACTTTCAAATCCCAGGCTGAATTTATCTAGAAATCCCCCCGTCACCTGTGAATCAGCTTATAAACTGAGTGCATTTTATACAAGAAATCACTGAAAGGCAATACAGAAGGAGCCTTACGATGCTATTTTTGAAGTCACTTTTCTGAGTAGCAATGTATTTAATGGGCCTGATTCTCTAGTACCCTTGTGCAGACAAATATACCGGCATGGAGAAGAGGTACAATGCTACCATTTGGATAGGGTGATGCTTTAAATGAAATGTGTGTGAATATACATATATCAGGACAACAAAGAATCTACCCTATTTGTTCCTCCCACACTTCAATCATTGATATGCAATCACCACCCTTCTTGCCACAGAAAATTGCCTGGGATTTCCTTCACAAGATACCTCTCCCACACTTCAATCATTGATATGCAACCACCACCCTTCTTGCCACAGAAAACTGCCTGGGATTCCCTTCACAAGATACCCGTGCTGTCACATGAGTCACTGCAGCAGTTGTTGAATAAGACAAAACACATTCTGCCTGTAAATTATAATAAAAGACCTCTGGTGCCCTAGAAACAGTGGGCGCCTCACAATCTCTAATGTGTATATTCTCACAAAACCTCTGTAAGGCAGGGTATTGCTGTTATCCTTATTTTACAGACAGGAAACTGAGGCATGGAGAGACTAAGAGACTTGCCCAAGTTCACACAGGACATATGTGGCAGAGCTGGGAACTGACTTTAGGTCTCCAATCATTACCTTGCTAGCCTGGGATGTGGGACTATTCTTCTAGTTTAATCGCTGTATGCATGCTTTCACCGCAGCGGCTAAACTTTAACTGGCCACCAAGGAATGGTTTACAAATCCAGCAGAGGTGTTTATCTGAGAAGAGGGGACATCAAATATGAGGAAAAGGGAACTTTCCTTTGCAAGGTTGGCATCTTCACAAGAAATAACTGTATCTGAAATGCTGTTAGTTGAAAACATGTGCTGCAGCAAGGAATGCTGGTGATTTAAGACTCAACAGTCTTCCTTTTAAATTAGTACTGAGCTAATACTGCTGCAGCAAGATGTTTGGGAGTCTTATGCAGCTAGGGGAACTTTAGACTGAGGTGGTAGTCCTCGGGTCCTGGCTAAATTCCTCTCTGAGTAATTACCTTCTGCCTTCCTAAATTCTTCCTTCAGAGTCAAGTTATATGGCATTCCAGCTGTCTGCTCCAGAGCAGGGTCATTTCCTCCTTTGGTTTCACGTCATGTACTACCCTGAGTCCCCCCACATGCTCCCCTCACACTCCTGCCTTGACCCCTCCACAGCCACATGCCCCGAGTCTCCAGTGCACCCTAGCTCCCTTCCCTGAGCTCACATACAGACACACCAACCCCCTGCCCTGGGCCTCTGGCACATCATCCTATACTTACATTTCTTACAGGTATTGTCCTATTGCAACCTCCCCCACCCCCCACTTCGATTCTCCCAGGGGGGTAGCAATAGAACAGAACCTTTAAGAAATTTAAGTTACTTTCATCCCTGACATACACCTTTTGCCCCATGGTGTCTGTGACAGGTTGGAACACGGCAGTCCCCTGGCGTATGTCTACACAGCAAGGCTAAAGTTGAATTACGCTATTGTAGCCAGACAGCCCCCCCATCTCATCCATCTTATTTGCCTCTCTGAAGCATACAGGACAGAGAAGGAGCAATAATATCAGCATAGTCTATGCTGGCTCATCTGATCCTGAGAAGCTGAAAAAACAGATATGTGGAAAGAGAGCAGATTAAGTCAATCAGCATAGGCATTAAGCTTTGATCTGCTTTGATGCAAGATCAGGATATGCGAGTCTGCCCCGGCTGGCACCCATGTTGATTCGAACACACACACAGTCCCTGGGAGAGGAATTTCCCACTGAGAAAAGAATCCCCAGTAATTCCAATTTAGTTATCTCTCTTACAAGTGTAAATTAAGTTCACAACTCCCTTGTAAGAACTGGTCTCACAAAAGACAGACCAGCCCCATTTGGCATGACAGATAAGAAAGAGAAATACGTGACCCCATGAGTATAAAGGTGGTCCAGCAACACACTCTCTTTTGAGTGTCATTCTACCCTCTACCTGTTGGTCGGGTTAGGTGTTTGACCTCCCGAGGTTCTATGGGGACGCCCACCTCGTATTTTCGTCTTTCCTAGGAATTGAGGGACCGGCCCTGGCCTGACATGCTGGAGTCGAGAGGCACAGAAGGGGGTAAAAATCGTACCTGGATGGGGTCCTCTGTCTTAAGTGTACACATAGAAAGAGTAAGCTGTTACTTGGTACCATTATTTCTATTTTTCTATCTTTATCTTCTTTGTAACCATTTTTAAGATCTATATTTTGCTAATAGTTAAGAAATAGAACAATAGCCATTGCAACCATATGATTTATAAGCTTCCTCAAATAAACCTGTAACTGTTTAAGTTTTAACCTGACTCCTTCAGCTTGGCGGGGGCCCGGCTTCCGGCTGGAACCCGTGTGGACAGGGGCTGCTGTGGAACAGCCTCTGCCCACAGCGAGCCTTGGACAACCATGGGCAGAGGCTGCTTTGCAGCAGCTTTCCCTATCCTATCTCCCCACCCCGCGCTTCCTCTGGCTTTTAAGCCGGCTCCCCGCAGTACCATCTCCTGTTCCCCCCTTGCTGCCTCTTATACTGAGAGCAGCAAGAGGGGAGAGAGGGAAGCGAGTAGTTGACTACTCCCTAACATCCACCAAAATAAGATATATGGATCCAAGAGACTGAAACATTAAGTTTCATAGGGTACATGAGGTGTCTTCTCCAAAGCGTTTTCAAGTTATGCATATTGGTATTCATAAGTCAACTTCATAAAGCTTGCGGGGGAACTGTCACAGTAGGGCAGGAAATTAGATATTTCTCTATCAGGGATCTTGTCTCAAAAGTCATTGATTGATGGCATTTCTCCTCTCATATTCCTATTGTTTAATATGTGTTCTCCCTTGCACTTTCAAAAGACCATTATTGTATCTCAGATAATCGGAGTCTGATGTGTAAAATTTGCACTGCACAAAATTAATTAAGGTCTGAGGCTGGAGGGTGCAGATAATTACACAGTAGTTGGAAAACACAAAGGATAACACAGAATACAAAAATGATCACCTTCAACCGCAGTTACTGTTGGATCAGAGTAATTGTACATCCAAGAGGAAACTAACAGCTCGTTATTTCAATTACTCCATTTCAGTCACTATTATTTCAATGCACCGGTTGGGTAAAATTCTGTAATTTCTGTTTATTACTAGCTGTAAAACGTTACATATCTTTGCCACAGAAAAAGGTAAAATACAAAACTTTTTCTTCTCTTTAAAATACTGAGTGTCAAAAGTAGGATGGAAGGTAATAAAACATTAAATAACAGCATGCTGGGAAAAGATGGAAAAAAACAGATACAAACAACTGTCAGAGTTCTATACACCCATCAGTTACGCATCGTTCACCACATATTTAAAAGCAAAGTAACAAATGATTACGCAAAACAGTATTAAGTGTTGTGAAGGAAAGCTGTGAATTCTGTTTGATTTACAAAAGACTATGTGGTTAGCTTTGATGTTGTAGGAAAAGATATTGGACTACAAATGAACCCAGTGATAAAGTGTGGTCATTCAAGAGGTAAAGCCACTAGGATATACTCTGATTTCATAGGCTGATGAGGGATTTTGATATGGAACTCACTCCTACATGCACTTACTTTAGAATTCAAAATGATAAGAAAAGAGAAACACAGAGAATTTATACTGGCAGAGAATGGAGAGAATTGAGCAGTTGTGCAAATGCTAAAATGGTGTAGATAGAAAATTGTGGTTCCTTTGCAGCCATTCTGAAGGAAAAATGGGCCCTTTTTCCAAAGGAATGTCTGTAAATAATCCAGGCAAATTTGACTCAAATTCGTACATTTGATTAGAGAGACTGCTAAAAGAACTCTAAAGGGAGGGGGTTCTATTGGAACTGAACTACCCCATTGAATAAAAAGGGAATGTAATTGTTGTACAGCTATGTAGAAATAGTGTAAGAAAGGTTCAGAGAGAATGTATGTGTATCTGTGTGTAGATATAAGTGTATATAAATGAAGTTTTCAAGGTCCAGTAATCTTGTTTGTAGGTTTAAAACAAATTGGTTTGGTAAGACCATTTTAGTCCAAGTTGTTTAATGAAGGTACAGGAAAACTGTAAGCATAAAGAAAGAGTTACACTCTATGCAAAGTTTAATGTGGCTAAGTAGTGTTGTAAACAAAGATTGCACATTTTCCTGTAAACTATAATGTAC